GTGGCTCGTGTGGTGCCTGTTCCGAAGAAAGGGTCTTCATACAGTCAGTCTAACTTGCGTCCAATAAGTGTATTGCCGGCCATGTCTAAGATAGTTGAGCATATTATTAAAGATGCTATTTTGGAGTTTCTTGGTGATCACAAATGCCTGAGTAGTTCTCAGTATGGTTTTCAGCGTGGCTGCAGTACTACGGTCCTTTGATTCAATTGACCACGCGCTGCTTATTCGCAAGCTTAGAGTCAAATTTGGATTTTCCGTTTCGGCCTGTAGACTAATTTCGTCGTATCTGGAGTGTAGATCCCAGTTTGTTGTGCACAAGGGTGTCCAATCTGATGTTGGTCTAATCCGGTGTGGAGTCCCGCAGGGTTCTGTACTGGGCCCATTACTTTTTATTATGTTCATTAATGACATCATGGATTCTGTTACTGCTAGTGATTGTAGTCTCTTCTTGTATGCGGATGACATACATGTATTCTTTAGGAGTGCTGATCTCGCCAGGTTGGAGAATCTTGCTAACACAACGTTGCAATCTCTCTCTATGTGGATCTCTTCCAATGGTCTTGATATAAACTGGGATAAGACTGAAGCTGTTTTGTTCAATTGTTGTTATGACGGTTCTATGCCTAATATTTGCGTTAGTTCCTTTACTATTAATATTGTTGGTGAAATGAAGTGCCTGGGTGTAATTATTGATGCCAAACTTAGTTTTTCGACCCACATTGATCTTCTGTTGTCCCGTGTGCGATTCCAGCTTAGGAGGCTTTATAGTGTCCAAGCATATTTGCCTCTTGGTGTTAGGGTGAAGGTAGCTATGTCGTTGTTGATGTCTCAGGTTAACTATTGTTTGGAGGTTATTTCGGGCTCTAATTCTGGTCATTTGCATCAGCTCCAAAAGGTTGTTAACTCCATTGTTCGTTATGTATATGGTTTGGGTCGTAGTCATCATGTTTCCCAATTTGTTGTTAAATTTCTTGGCCTATCCTTTTATACTTATGTTGAATATCGTATCCTTTTGTGTTATTATAGAATTATGAGAAATGTTGATTTACCGCTGTGTAGTAGGTTTGTGATGTGTAGATCCTCTCGGAACCCTCAGTTGTTGTATCCGAGGTTTTCGTCTGCAATTTGTGAAAGATCATTTGTAGTTAGAGTCGTAAGATCGTGGAATCAGCTCCCTTTGAGCCTTCGTAAGTTTACCTCTTCCACTTTTGCGTATAGGAGGGAATTGTTTGGGCATTTGTCTCGTATTTGATGAAGCTGGCTTTGAAGAAATCGCTGATTACAGGTTGCATAATGGTACTTTGTCTTTTTTTTTAATTTTTGGCTGGGGAGCCATTTTTATTTAAGTTCGTTAGCATTTATGTTATAGATTTATACATATGGAATTTAATGTCTGTGGTTCTGATATTGCTCTTGGGCTCGAGAGGAATATATAGTATATTTATATGTATGGTTCCTTAAGCTTCCTTTCCCCTCCACTTTTCTTAGCAACAGTTAAGTAGAGTGCAGTGGATTGGGGTTCTTGTTTGGAATCTGTTATGTTAGCGGTTTGCATTAAATTTCATTATGTAGAATTTTGTTTTTTGCTGTTATGTATTTTTAATTTATTTAGTTTATTCTTTGTTTGGGTTTTTATTTTTTTTTTTATATATAAGTTAATATAAGTTATTGGCCATGCTGGCTTTTTTATATTACATTGTATGAAATAAATGAAATGAAATGAAATGAAAAAAAAAATTTCAATTTTTTATAAATAGCCGGCCTTCGGCCGGGGATTTAAGACTTTCTCCTATGAACAGATGGAAAATTGGGCTACGCGAGCAGAATTCTCTTTTAATTTAAATTTTTTTCTAAATAGCCGGCCTTCGGCCGGGGATTTAAGACTTTCTTCTATGGACAGGTGAAAAATTGGGCTACGCGAGCGGAATTATCTTTTAATTTCAATTTCTTTTTTAAAAGTTATACGTGATTGAATAAAATTAAAATCATATTTAATCAGCTTCATTACTAAATCCCCGGTCCCAGCCTATTTTTTCTAAACCCCATTTCTCAAGAAGTATGGACTTCCTCCCATATAGTAACATATTTATGTAATCATGTAAATTATACATACCTCTGCTGATCCAGAACAATCCGAGTGTCCCTAAAGGAAAAAATCCTTAAATCAAAGAAATAACCATATAAGCTTATTTTTAACATTTTGAACCCCATATTTTCGGAAGTACGAAGTTCCCCAAAAAAATTATGTGGTTCTAATCAGCTCCAAAAGGACTATGTGCTGTAAAAAAATTAAACGTTTCGGAGTGGTATTCTTAAATATGTTTAATAAAAAGTGGGGTATTTTTTGAACTTTGGAACCCCATATCTCGGGAAGTACTGATTTCCCCCCGAAAAAACGTATGTTGTTGTAATCAGCATCAGAAGGGCTACCTATGATAAAAATTTCAAAATGATCTGAGAGGTGTCCGTAAAGTGCATTTAAGCCAAGAAGGGGAAGGCCATGAATTCGATCAAGTGTAAGATGACATATCAAAACAAGTCATTTAAAATTGGAAAAACTTCGTGTTGGTAGCAAATCTATCTCTGTGTGTAATTATCTTCAAGGCAGTGGATATAGCCCTGTACTTTTTATACAGCGGAGTTACAGTACCGGCCACATAATTAGCACACACCTGAAGAAAAAAGTGTTTTGAATAACACTTGATTCGTTTACAATATGTTTAAATAATTTTTTATTCAAAACGCTAATGTGTACTAAGGACTAATGAAAAGACGCGGTCAACACTATATACAATCTCTGCGTGTTTCTGAGAATAAGCATCATGTTTACGAATGATAGACAAGAGTTAGAAGATAATAACAGCTGATATTCAAATGAGTTTGCAAAGGAGGATCACATTGTATGATATTTTAGTACACGTTATTTTTTTCCAATTAACTCCTCTCCTCCTTGGCTCACGTCCTATTTGGTGTTACAATGTTGAGAGCCATGTCTCTACACGTGTTTTTTTATTGTCTGGATCGTCTACGTCAAACGCAAATAAAATAAATTATGTGTACTAAGGACTAATCAAAAAGACGCGGTCAACACTATATACAATCTCTGCGTGTTTCTGAGAATAGGCATCATGTTTACGAATGATAGACAAGAGTTAGAAGATAATAACAGCTGATATTCATATGAGAGTTTGCAAAGGAGAATCACATTATATGATATTTTAGTACACGTGATTTTTTAATTGTCTGGATCGTCTACGTCAAACGCTAATAAAATAATAGACTTGTTCCCGGGAAAATCAAAAACAATTTCGATTAAGGAGTTATGGTCACTCGCAATTCTTAAAAAAATCGGATTTATTTTATTGACTCAATTTGAAATATTGGTAGAATCATGGCGTAATAAGAAGGTCGTCTGATTTCACCCGAGCTGTCAAAATGTTTTAAATTTTGACTTAATCGTGTGAAAACATAAACAAGAAATTTGACAGTTTGGGGGATTTTCTACCAAAATGGCCGATAATATTCGCTTCTTACAAGACCTGTTTAATGGTCCATGCGGTTCCGTTCCAGAACCTAAAATAATCTACTAATTTTACAAGTTTTGTAACTTTTTACTCGTAACCCGTTCCTGAACCCACAAAAATATACCTAACAAAATGGCTTTTTACTCGAAAAATTTGTCTGAGTAAAAATGGTAAACAGGAATGCCAACTTCTGATTGGCTGTTAAGGTATGTTTAGATTTACGAAATCTATTCGATCTCAAATGTCAATTCCATTTCATATACGTCAAATTTAACCCAATAGATTTGTGAACAGGAAGACACGTTTAGATTTACGAAATCCACTCGATCTCAAATGTAAATTCCATAGCGTATACGTCAAATATAATTCACTGGATTCCACTGGAACATATCCAAAAAAGTACTTTAATGCACCAAACATAAAACAGCAAAATATTTTTTTAGGTAGGGCACAGCTACCAACTCAAGCCACCTTGTTCCATCAAATCAAAATACATATTTTGTGTATGTGTGTGTATTGTTTTGAATACAATGTCAAATATATTCAAAATAAATTGAAATATATTCAAATTAATTGAAATGAAAATGATGTTTTTAACACGTTCGTCTGGAAGTAATTACTTTGTTATGGATGAAACAAACATTTGATGGTATTCCCTACTGGATTTTGGGAAGAAATCATGACCTTTCATTTATTTTTCGCGTTTTTAGTTTTGTGTTGAAAAAATATCAAATAAAGACAAACACTTGTTGCAAATATTTATTTTATTTTTGGCAGAAGAAGCCACACGTGCATATTCACCTCAAGCTGCCCTACCTTGTATTATTGTACCATGCATCCATCTGCCGAAAAAATAGATTTCTCTTTCCCCAACCTAATATATTTGGTAGAGTTGCCACTGTATTAATTATTTTGCTCACCATCGGCGTTAGTTTACACAAACATCGACGACGGCAGACAGTGGCTTTACATTCTTTTTGAGTCGATTAGTCGACAGTCGATTTACTTATCCCTAGTGTAGTGTGTGTTTGTGTTTTGAGTCCGACTTAGATCTAAATCGAATTTGTAAATAATTTAAATAATTAATAATTTTAGAAAAAATATTATGAAATATTTGTAATTGACGGTACATATCAATTCGCCTACAATGAAGTTGTATGAAATATATACCCTTATGGGTATAATAACAGCAGGTAAATCACAAACAAAAAAACGCCACAGAATATTTCTAAGCCACACCCCTGGCTTTAAGCAGCATTTCATGCCAAGCAATGCCCAAAAACAACAACAACAGCATGCTGTTGATTCATTACATTTTGTACAAATTAATTAATTGATCAATTCTTAATTTCATCATTATAGTTTATGGCCAGTCATATTCATCGGTGGACGCCCGACAGGCATGTGTAATACCAAAAATATTGCAAGGATCATGGTTTTCATGGGAGAGTGGACGCCCGACACAGACAGTGATAGATGCTACGCAAATGTCCCGTAGAGGCTATTGTGTTGCAATGGAAAAACACCACGCCGACGAATATTCGTTTGTTTTTAAAGAGCAATCAATCAATTGTTACCACTGTGTTCGAACATTTGTCAGGACATTAAATATTTTTGAGAAATTTGAAGGTAATAATTTGATATACGAATTTTATAAAAATGAACTTTAAAGTATTTTATTTATGCTAAAAGAGGTTAATGACTCCTTTATCGATTTTTTAATTTGTTAATCTGTTTTCTTTTATAATATTACAGGACCCTGTGTTTCGGTTCCCGATGGCGTTGAACCAACTGTTGAACATGTTTGTCGTGGCATAAAGGATGATCAACAACTAATCACCCTATTCAATGAGAATTTTGTACCCATCAATTGTCGTAGTTCCCTAGAAGGTGTGTGGCACTTTACATATCAGAACCGTTTCCGTTTCACCGGCGTCTGTAATAAACCCGATGCACGTATACAATCGTGTCAAACAGCGGGTACACAATTTTTGATACAAAATCAAAAATTCAATATTACCTATCAGCAGTGTGAGGGTATGGATGGCACATTCAGCGGTACAGTTGAATACAGTTGTCTGGGTGATTGGTTTGTGGGTAAAAATCACTACTTCGCCGTGGCCAATACTAAGGAGTCACGTAAAGATGAAAAGTACAGATGTTTCCTTAAAAATCGTGATGACGATTTGTACATTGGTGTATCTATCACTGCCGAATGTAATACATTGAAAACGCCCGAACAGTCGCCGGAACGTTTGAAACTGACACCCGTCAAGGCGGAATATGTAGAACCTGGTTGTACACTACCACAGAATTTCAGCGGAGAATGGGTTAATACTGCCAATATTGATGCTGAAGTTATCATCGATGATACACACATCAATGAAACCTATTATCCGGACAGGGCACGTTATAGGCGTACCATATATGTGTGTCGTGAACGTCGTGGCAATCGTATTATGATGGCTCGTCTAACTGTTGATGGTTGCCAAAAGGATTATGTCTGTTTTGATTTTATGCCCAGGCACCATAATATTATACGCTATCGCAAGGGCTTGGCTGTTATAAAAGACGACTTCAGTACCGTATGCTCCTGGGTGCAATTTAAAAATGCCGAAGCATGGAAATATGATTTACTATTGGCCAAGAATCCGGTGGCAGTCAGATGTCCTGTTGCGGGTAAATTTAATTTTACACAACGTGGTGAACATCCATTCAAGACAAGGTAAGACGATTGAGTATCAAAACTGTATGTATCTTGTTCTACCGCATGTTTTATTTATTTTAGAATTTTGGGTGGTGTAACACTAAGTCCACGTCCTGACATTCGTTGCAAGCAAAATATTTCCGATTTGTCGGTTTGTGATACAGATCAAAAAGAAATGGCTGTAGACGAAAACTATTGTCTTTCCGTAGATCATTTGGGTAGACCTGTGGATATTTACAGTAAGTATTAAAGGTCCTTAAAAAGTTAATTCTATTAAAGCAAAATTTGTCTTTTAGGTGATCCCGATTATCGCATGAAATGTATTGGATTCTGGAAAGAAAACTTAAAATCCTATCTCATAACCTATGATGACTTGGATCCTTTGTCCAAATACCGTTGTTGGGTATATCAAAGAGCCGATCTAAATAGAGTACTTATGTCACAAGGTATTATAAGCATACCACATTGAAATTATTTATCACTAATATTATAATTACCTTAATATATTTCAGCTGTGGGAGCTTTTTGTAAATTAAATCAAGATGTTACATCATGGAATCACTCAGAAGGTGCTGCCGTTGCCATCGATGCCATAGAATATGAACGCGAACGTGACGATTGCCCCATGTACTTTGATGATGGTGAAAATCCGTGGCGTCAATCGGATGCATCTAATGTAATTTTCGATTGGGATTTTTATAAAGCTGGTGCTGGCCGCATAATTGCAACACTAAATATGCAAACAATGTTAACATTTGTATGTGGTTATGTAATTTTCAAACTAGCTAGATTTCTATTTTAATATGGAAAGCCATAAGATATTGAACAGCGAACCAAGAATTGTGTTAGTTATAAGTCCAATCATCACTTCTTAAGTAATCAAACACTACACTGAATCTCTCTAGCTAAAAGAAATTAAGTGTCTTATTTGAATAAGTTTACAATTTTTTTTTACAAAATATCTATAATATTATGCTATAGTCAACTATTTGTTGTTAATCCGTCCATTTCTAGAGAAGAGAATTGTAGAGTTCACAAAAATATATAACATTCCGTCCATATAAACGAAATTATGTACAATGGTATTACAATAAAACAAAAGACAATTTCTAATTATGAATACTAAAAAGGTTTTTCTTTTTTTAATTTTAAAAATGTTAGTTCAACAAAAAGATACGTCATAAATAATCTACATACTATGTACTTTGATTTGAAGTTTCGAATGGTTCTAAGGCTCATATCTTTTGAACCAAAACAGATACAGCCACATTGTCGCACAGTTTGGAAAAACGCATTTTGGTGAGGAACTATAAAGCACATTTTTTCGTCTTTTGAAGTTTTTTTTAATCTTATGATATTACAATTTGATGGATACATTTTATTACATTTGGGCCTGGTTGAGTCAGGGTTTTTCATGGAAAGTTCGACCTTTAAAGTGCTTTTTTTTATCCTGGTCAGAAACGGTTAGAAACGGGCTTTTTTGAATAAAAATGCTACAAAATGTTTAATAATGGAGATATTTGGATCAACTTTTGAGGAATCATTCTAGAGGTGTTTTCATACACAATCGAAGAAAAAATCATAAATATTTTCCATATATATAATTTGTACAATTTTTTAAAGTTAAGTAGATCAATAACCGTGGTACATTTGTACCCATCCGGAAAAAGTGTTGTAATGCATTAAAATATTGGACTATCGTCCGGTTTTTCATTTTAAATTAGACTATATGGATCTGATCTAGATGTAGGAACTAAAAATTATATATATATATATATATAAAAAGAATATATATTTAAATCCATGTTTAAATGATAATCTATCTAAAACAATCATAGTAAATTCGTTAAAACTTTCGATGGGTTACGTTTTTTAAGTTATTTTTTATTGGGATCTAATTTCGATAACCCTAGACAACATGGGAGTCTAGGGTCACAAGAATTTGCAGGGGATACTCGTGGAAGTCAGAAACTAACATGGTTTTCCCTTGGTATGCAGGGTCAAAAACAATGATTATTGTCCTTAATTTTCCAATTATTCTTCGTATTGGGCCTGAAACTTTTTCTATAATCGAATTAGTCTGATTTATTACTATTCTAAATTGGCGTACATATATAATCTATCATAAAATAAAGTTTTAAAGTATTAAATAATGTTAAAAATGTGCCAATCACAATCTCTAAACTAAATATATACAACGTGGATAATTGGCAATAATTGTTTTAGTCCCTCTATACCAAAGGAAAACCTGATGGCCCCATGTTGTCTAGGAGGGTTGGGGAACACCTAAATAAGATCCCAATAAATAACTAAAAAGGCTTAACACATTCCAAAACTATAACGAATTTACTATTGGTCTGTTCCCGTACTGCAAGAATCTACTCGATTTTACTATTTTCTTCGATATCATAAAGGAAAATTCGTTATCGTAGTAAAAAATAGTAGAATCTTGCAGTACGGGAACAGACCATATGATTGTTTTAGATAGATTATCATTTATTTCGATATCATAAAGAATAAGTGTTATCGGAGTAAAAAATAGTAGATTCTTGCAGTACGGGAACATACCCAATATTTTAATGTATATTTGAGTTCCTACATCTAGATTAGATCCGCATAGACTATTATAAAACAAAAAACCTCACGGTAGTCCAATTTTTTAATGAATTACAGAGCAATCTTTGGATGGCTACAAATGTGCCACGGTTATTGATCTACGTATAATTTTTTGGTTATTGACCGTAGGGTTAATAAGGTCACCTTGCTAGCGAAAATCAGCTGTTTTTTCTCAAGTGTAATGTAAAAAAATTGGCTTTTATTTACTTTTTCATAATGGAAGTCAATTCACAATAATGGATTATAACAGCAAAGTTAAGAGACAGCTGATATCTAGCTGGTCTCTCTAGACGACCTTATTTATAGGCCTTCAGATAGCCATGTGATATCATCACTTTTTTCGAACGTTCCCATGCCTGACTGGATAGGTATCGTCATAAGCTTAAAGCTCAAGTATTTAATTTGACCAATAGCACTCGGAAAGGAAACCCCTCGTTTTTTCTTTTTCAAGGAAGCATGCGAACGGAAGTTACGCTCTTTTTTTAAAAAAAAAATTTGCCTGTGGAAAAGCAGACTAACAAATTTGTTGTTTGTAAGAATTTGCAAATACTCAGTAACACAACTGTCAAATCTGCTCTCTCAATTCACTCTCTTTTACTGGGCTTTTGGGTAAATGAACAACATTTTGTACAAATTATGGAGTAAACGAACGAACCTAATATTACATGTGAAAGAGCTGTTTAATGTTTTGATGCAATTTGGTGCAACAACAGCAAGAGATTTCAAATAAAAGAATATTTTTTTATGATGGCAAAAATCGCAATGAACGATGTTAAAGACACAATGATTAATGGGAAGAAATCTGCGATTGAATAAAATTAATTAGCAGTTTATTATTTCACTACATAATTTTGTGTGTCTTTTCATTTAATTTCGATATTTTATCTCTTCAAATTCTTAAAGTGGCCAAGTGGCATTTCATAATTTTTATTTGAGTTGCCCATCTGGTAAATTTGACTATATGTTTTTTCCATAAAATATCTTTATTTCGCCTCCAAATTGCATCAAACTCGACCTTAATATTCCTTATTGCCTTCATACATTCCGTAGCAATATTTGGTTGAGCATGCATCGTTATTAATAGGATTTCCAATGGCATTGTATTTGTTGTTTTTGAGTTTAAAATATGCATACAACCATTAATAATATTTGAAATCGTCGTAATGGAAAAATATTGTGAAGATATTTTCCATAAATATATTTAATACTTATATTTTTGTAGTCGGCTCCCTTTATATTTGCTGATTTACCTTTAAAGGGAAAAGCGAAAAAAATTCACGGTGAATTGATGCCCAGAATAAGGCTGGTAAACCTCCATGTCTCAAAATAAAAAAAAAAAATAAACGGACTACTCGATTAATACTTTTGTATGTATTTTTTAGATCTTAAGATTTTTTTTATTTTCTCAAGAAAATCATCACGTTTCTTTGGGATCTCTCTTTGTGAATATTTGATGTTTAAATAATAAAATCGGGTATTTTGTGGTATATTGTTTAAATTTTAAGATTGATTTCTTCCATGTGTTATTATTATTGTTGTAATTATTATTAAATTAATTTTCTCTAGTACATAGCTCATTATCATTCGTGTTTCTTCGTTTCGAAACTAAATTTGCAAACATTTAGTTCGCCAATTATCTTAAAATTTAGACTCTCATCCAGTACATAGAGGAACGAATTCTGTTGTAGTCGGGAAGATTTTCAACGGGACCGACAGCGGCAACAGCTGGACATCTGTCGAAAATGTATTTCATGGCAACATCGCGTACATTTTGGACATCGACGGCATCGATGCGTTGTTCCAATTCGTGCAATGGGATGCGACGGTTGTAGCAGAGCATTTGGCGACCGATATCTTCACAGATGGGGGTTGTGCCGTCCAATTGCAACAACATGTTGGTCTTCAACAAGTTCTTGGCACGTTCAACTTCAGCTTCGGTGACCATGGTGCAGAGACGCATCCATTCCTTTTGTACGTTGAAAAGCATGTTTTCGCATTCCAATGGATCGCAGACGAAGTAAATGCCCCACAAACCGGTATCTTTGTAGCAGGTGTTGAAGGATTGGAAGCTGTGGCACAAATCTGTAAAGGAACAAACAAATTAAAGTAATCTGTGATTTGAACATTTCACGGTGACTTACTGTCCTCAGCGCTGGCACGAGCCAAGTTGGAGGCATTGTTGACGCCACCACCTTGAGAACGATCCCAGGCTCCGATAAGGGTGTTGGCAACCATCAAGGGAATGTTATCTTGATCGGTCCAGCCGCAACCTTCAACAGCAATGGCAATGTGAGCCAAAGGCAAGGAATCGTCACGTACACGGACTTCAGAGCCAGTGAAACGGCAGGGAGTAACCTCTGGTGGCTTGCCATCATAGGTGTTGGCCAACTTGCCCAAATGTTGATCAGCCAATTTAACCAAGTCGTTGTGCTTGACACCACCGGCACCGGCCAAGACAATGCGAGAAGCCTTGTAGTGGGTGCTAATGTAGTCTTGCAAATCGGCTTTGCCAATGGACTTGATGTTCTTGGTGGGGCCCAAGATGGTTTGGCCCAATGGGGTACCTTGGTAGGCAGTGGCGTGCAAATGATCGAATACTACTTCTTGCAAGTTGCTTTCAACTTCTTGCATTTCACGCAAAATTACGGAACGTTCACGCTCAATTTCGGATTCTCCCAATTTGGAGTTTTGGATGATGTCGGCCAAGATTTCAACAGCCTTGGGTACATCCTTAGACAAACACTTGGCGTAGAAAACAGTTTGTTCCCGAGAGGTGTAGGCATTCAAATGAGCACCCATGTTTTCAACTTCCAATTCCAAATCGGTTTGGGAACGCTTGGCAGTACCCTAAAAGAGATAGATCGAATAACAACACCGGCCGTTATGTCATTTAAAATTGAACAAACCTTGAAAGCCATGTGTTCCAAGAAGTGAGCAACACCATTATTTTGTGGGGTCTCAGAACGAGAACCAGCATCGATCCATAGACCCACGGTGGCAGTGGCGGCACCAGAATCTTCACTGGCAACACGCAAGCAATTATCCAAAGTGGTCACTTGAGTGGCTGGGATGTTGACGAGAGTCTTCTTCAAGCTAGCGGCATCGGAAGCTTTGTAGCGCTGCAATAAAAACATTATTAACATCACACTCATACATACACCTAACCTCAAAGGCGTTCACTCCTTTCGATAGAACATCATTTTAGCAAACTTTCCATAACCCATTCAATTTATTTATTTGTGGCAAAACACCAATTCACTTTTTTATCTCAACTTATTTACTTGAGAATTTTTCCTTTCGGTTTTTTACATTTTTTCCATTACGTAATGTCCAATGGCTGGTTGCTGCTTTTGTAACAACACAGTGCCGAATTCTTCCGAAATGTTACTGGTGAAAAATTCTATTCGTCACATTTTACCTTCAACAAATTGATTCCTTTAGATAATTGTCGCATATTTTGCGAAACGCCAAGCACACGCATAGCCATGGTGAAGGGATTTTTTTATTTAAATTTCCTTGCTCACTTAAATAATTACAAAATACTCTCGTCCCAACTGGACGATATTTTTCTCATGCGAAGTTAGTTGCAACTAATGACAGTTGGTGCTGTCAAATTTTACAATTGGGTATGTTCAGTGGATTTCGATATTACCGTGTTCACAATGTTCTATTGACATTAATTGTTGTATTTTCTTCATCTGTTATGGTTTTTGATCATGGTACAATTATAAAAGGTGACAGCAAATCCCAGCTGATTTGATTCCAACGTAATAGTGTCGATATGAATTTGACAAATTATGTTTTTAAAAATCACCCAACAGGAAAATTGGTAACGCATACAATTTGAAATTGTTCTTTATTAATGTGCTCCCATATTCAATTTACTCAATCTGCCTGCTGGGAAAGTTTGAGGAAGCAAATCTTTCTTGAAGGAATAACTCGCTATTCCCAGCATTTTCATACGTGTTACACATATATATGGCAATGGCTCAATTAAAGGAAAGATGTGGAAGCGATAGAAATATAAATTTGATAGATTTTCATTCATGTTTTTAAATTTTTATTTTGAGGATTCGAAAATATTTCATTTTCAAAATAAAAATAATTTGTTTGTTTGTTTACATTTTTCTGTCAAATGAGTTGACACTAGTAGAACTTACAACAACAAATTTCCATGTGGTTGTTGTATCGTTTTTTGTACAACAACACTTGCTGTTACCTTTTATTATTATACCATGGTATATGATTAAAATATCACGAATGTTTTTTTTTTTTTAATTAAAACGGACCTCTACACTACGTGTATATGAACAGAACTTTGTAATTGAATATTTTATAATTCATTAAAACAAGCAAATAAACTACGCGTTTATGTACAACTTCTTTGACGAATAATTTAAAATTAATCATGATTACATTTACATTTGAGCTATCATGACTTAGATTTACGATATCCACTCGATCTCAAATGTCAATAGCATATACGTCAATATAATCCACTGGATTTTGACACGATTAAGTTGACGCATACGCTATGGAATTGACATTTGAAGTAGTAATAATTAATAAATTTGGCAGTCAATGAAGAATATGAATTCGTCTCCCTCTTAACCATATGAATAAACCTAGGTTGTGACATATATTGTGTGTTCCCGTACTGCAAGAATCTACTAGATTTTACTATTTTCTTCGATATCATAAAGGAAAAAAGTGTTATCATAGTAAAAAATAGTAGATTCTTGTATTACGGAAACAGACCAATAATGATACTATCAGCTGCCTTGATACAATTACCTTATTATTATGCCTTGAGCTTGACATTATCCGTTGATCCCTACTCCACAACAAAATTGGATATTGATACATGCTCAATATTTGGTTGAGCATGCACAGTATAATGTATAAAGGCAATAAGGAATATTTCAGTCGAGTTTGATGCAATTTGGAGGCAAAATAAAGAAACTTTGTGTGAGGACCATGGTATAATAATAGAAGGTAATAGCAAGTGTTGTTGTACAACAAATGATACAACAACCACATGGAAATTTTTTGTTGTAAGTTCTACTAGTGTCAACTCATTTGACAGAAAAATGTAAACAAACAAACAAATTATCATCAAATTATTTTTATTTTGAAAAATGAAATATTTTCGAATTCTCAAAATAAAAATTGAAAAACATGAATGAAAATCTATCAAATTTATATTTCTATCGCTTCCACATCTTTCCTATAATTGAGCCATTGCCATATATATGTGTAACACATATGAAAATGCTGGGAATAGCGAGTTATTCCTTGAAGAAAGATTTGCTTCCTCAAACTTTCCCAGCAGGCAGATTGAGTAAATTGAATACAGGAGCACATTTAATAGAGAACAATTTAAAATTGTATGCGTTCCCAATTTTCCTGTTGGGTGATTTTTAAAAACATAATTTGTCAAATTCATATTGACACTAGTATTACGTTGGAATCAAATCAGCTGGAATTTGCTGTTACCTTTTATAATTGTACCATGTGTGAGGACCTGTCTTTCCAGAAAAATATTAACAATTACGATTTTGCATGATTTGAAGGACGAAATATTAAAATAATTGGCCACTTTAAGAATTTGGGGAGATAAAATGTCTAAATTAAATAAAAAGGCACACAATTATGAAGTGAAATAATAAAATGCGAATTAATTTAATTCAATCGCAGATAAGATTAAATTAAGATCGTTCGATGTGGTTTTTGCCAAAATTGTTATCGTAGTAAAAAAATAGTAGATTCCTGCATTAGGGAACAGACCATGTGTCCTACCTTGTAATAATTATACTATGGGTTATACCCCCTTAAAAACAAAGAAATAATAAAAATTAAAATAAATAAAAAAATTTTGAAAAATATTACAAAATTAAGTTTAAATGGGGCAAAACACATTACAGCTAAAATTACAATATGGCAATACGAACATTTTTTTACCACCATTTTCGAAAATTCGAATCCGCATATCGCATTTTTTGTTTCTCCCTATTCTCTCAGAATAAGCCGAGAATGTGAAAGCGAAAATTTTTTCACAAGCGAGATCTCTCTTTCTAGAGAATGACCAGAATAAGGCTGGTCGATTCTTGTAGTACGACAACAGACCAAATATTTCACAGCAAACTAGAAAAAAGTAAAACATATGCGCTTCGCACCCAGCTAGCGAAAGTCAGCTGTTTTTTTCAAGTCTAATGTCAAAAAATTGGACTTTGTTTACATTTTTATAATGAAATGGATTTTGGCTGGTCTCCTTCGATGACCTTATTTATATGCCTTGGATATAAGTCAGTTCAAGGCATATATAAAGTCGGACAGTAAGTCTGCTTTTCCACAGGCAAATTTTTATTTGGCAAATACTGAGTTTGTAGGCGAGAGGGGTCCGAGGAAGAAAAACAAAAATTTGCCTGTTCAGAATTTGCCGTACACGCAAATTCTGCTTTGCTCTGTTCGTTGAAAACAATTTTGTTGACATTTCCTTTTGAACCTATTCGCTTTACTGACACACAGCCGGCCTTTGTTTACAAACCTGTTGCTTTAATTTGTGCAAGTGAAATTTAATTTTTAATTTTTGCAATTTATATAATAAAATATATAAAAAATAAATTAAATATTATAAAAAAATCTTTAAAATGCACACACTTTTGACTTTTATTTTCTTTCTTTTGTATTTTTTTTCATTTCATTTATTTATTCATAATACAAAAGCCTCCTGGGCCTATTTACTGTATTAATAGTATTATTAAAAACCTGATAGTTTAAAATTCATTTTTATTTACAACATTGGCTCCCCAGCCTAATTTACTTTAACAGTAATATTATTTAAAAAACATACAAATGTCCATTAGCAACGTACGTAGTACGAAGATCATAAAACACGAATGAACTAATTCTCTGAAAGATTTAAATGAAGTTTAAGTTTTAAACGAAACGCATTATTCGAATGCGAAAAAATTCGCAATACAATAGGTACAACATACGATTTCTCATATAAGGAGCTATGAATTAAAGGTATATTAATCTGTGGGTTTCTGCTAGAATGTGAAAATGTAAACAACGCACGTAACGACCTAGGTATACCAGTTTTAATAATTCTATAAAAATAAAAAGTATTACGAAAATCGACAAATTTACGAAACGAGGTGCCTAAAAAGTTAACAACAAACTCTGATATATGCTCACGAACTCTTACATTATAAACAAATCTAGCAATTATATTTATAATTTGCTGTAACTTATGAAAATTATATTCCGAAGTTCCAGATATAAATTCCAATACATACAACACATGTGGCATCATCAGTGAACAGGCAATTTTCGTCCTAACATGCAAAGGTAGATAAATACTGGTGGAATACAATTTACGTAACACTGAATAAATTTTACTGTGTATACTGTCAATATGGGATCCAAAATTTAACGTGTTATCCAAGATAACACCTAAACACTTGTGTTTCTCAACAACGTCAATCCTTGAATTACCTATACATATCCCAAGATCTTGAACATGAGAACCAAACATAATAATTTTTGTTTTCAGTGGGTTTATTTATAAACAGTTAGCGTTGGTCCATCTCAGTAAATTCCCCAAACAAGAATTCATTGCCTCTTTTAAATAATCAATGGAATTTGTTTCAGATTTGAATAAAAGCATAACGTCATCAGCAAATATAAACAATGAGCATACATCAAGATTAATATATTCTGGCAAATCATTTATGTATAGAATAAACAGCAAGGGGCCCAAGACCGAACCTTGAGGTACCCCTGAAGAAAGAAAAGCACTCCCAGATCTAACACCACCCATCTCAACATATTGTGATCTACCGCTAACATACGACATTATCATTTTGCAGGCTGAAAAGGAAAAATTGAATTGATTTTTAAGTTTATATATAAGCGTACTGTAGGAAATCGAATTAAAAGCCTTGGATATTTCCTATGAAATAAGTGAGCACATTTGCTTATTATTAAGATCACTCCTGATAGATTCTGTTAGGTGTAACAGCAGAGAAGTTGTGCTCCGGCCACGTCGAAATGCATGCTGCCCATCAAAAATTTCGGAATTAGTGTGCGATAGAATTTGGTCTTTTAATATATGTTCACAAATTTTCGACAATGTCGGGAGTATTGAGATTGGTCGTAAGTCCTCAGGACCCCGGACTATAGTAGATTTAGGAATTGGTACAACTCGAGCCATTTTCCATAACAGTGGAAAATTTGAGGTAGTTAAAATTGTATTTATTAAGTCCAAAATCAGATGAGAGGTATGAGGCCAAATTAGTTTCAAAAATTCAATAGATATTCTATCTACACCAACCTACTTGGATTTAACTTTGCCAATAGCAACATCAATATCATAGATTGTAACACATGAGAAAGAAAATGAATTGTCAGCATCAAGAAAAGGTTCAATGTCAACACTATCATGTCCATCCGATGTCACATTAGAAGCAAAGAAATCATTAACAGATTCAGCATCACAACCATACACAGCATCATTATCCCCAGTACAACCATGTCTTCTAAGTATCCCCCAGAAACTCTTG